AGCCCAGCGTTATGTTCTTGTCCGTCTTTTTCCACGCCGGCCACTGCCGCCCAGCCCGCCGTGCCTTTGTGTGCGGTCGTGCAACCGTGTGCTCTCTTGTTTTTCTGAAATCGCGTGGTTTTTTCTTCACCCTGTCCGGTCGTCGTTGTCGTCGTCGTCGTCAATGTTGCTCTCAGGTCATCGTCTTTTTTTTTTTTTTTTTGAGGAGGGAGAGAGAGAGAGAGAGAGAGAGAGAGAGAGAGAGAGAGAGAGAGCTACATAGCATGCCAAGAGTAATTGGCGTGTCAGAAGTCAGCCGATCGTTTTCTTGTAAAACCTTTTTTAGGGGGGGAGTTCGTTGATTTTCCGGGGTGGGGGTGGGGTGGGGTGGAGAGGGGTGGAGGTTGATGTCGCGTTCACCGCGGGTTGTCTGTAGCTAGAGTTCGTGTTTCCCCTTGATGTATCTTGCTACAAAGCAACCGCAAATATAGTAGCAGCAACAATAATACCGTAGAGTAGGTACAGGGTTCCCTTGTGTAGTATTTCTCTGTTCGTTTGCGTGTTGGGGGGTGGCGGGGGTACAGTTCTTTCAAACCGGAAAGAGGTTTGGTTACAAGGCATGATATGGAGCGAGGCAAATTGGTAGTTATTGCTTCCCGTTTAATTTTTTTTATGTTTTATGTGTATCAGGTCTTGACACAGGCTGATACAAGTTGTAAAACCAAATGTTTGCGCGGCGAGAACGCGAGAGTGATAAAATCCTCCCCGACTTCGTACGAGCTGGAGATTGATTGTTCAGTTTTTTTTTTTTCTTTCAATAGTGGTACTCGAGTTCTAGTACGATTTCTTTTTTTACTCGGCTCGCGAGAGGTCCGAGCGGCAGTAGGGTAGTTAAGCATGTTTTTTTTTCGTGTTCTACACGAAATGAAAACAACTCCCATCTCTGTGTATGCCTGACTGGATAAATGCTGAGGAAGCACGCAACTAAGCGATGCAAAGTGAGTGAACATAACCCACCGCGTGGGATGCTTTTTGCGCACAGCATTGTGGTAGCTCTTTCCTGCGAGATGGTCTTGTTGTTCTTACGATGTGTCTTCTCGCTTTTTTTTCATGGTCGGTTCACTCTTGGGGGGATTTCACTTTTTGACATGATGGTGCGCCATTCTTTTTCCTTGGAGAATCAATTGGGCAGGGGGGAGGAAGAAAGAAGTTGTACGGAACAAGAGGTAGAGGTCAAACTGTCTTCAAGGTTAAGGCAAAAAAACGGCAGCAAGCAGCGGCCAGTTGCTGGTCACGGTAGCCCCGCCACTTAGGAAATCCTCTCGCTTTTGTTGAGGCTGGGCTTCTTGGTTCCTGGTGTTGAGCTCCAAGTGGCCGTTTTCTAGGTTTTAGTGTAGAGTTCTTCCTTAACCGGGCTCTCGAAAGGTACTCAAGTTTCTCTCATTTGTTTCTGATTCTGATGTGTTGTGAGCATGACGTCCTTCACTACACCAAGCGCGAACTATTTACTGTTAGTTCGAATGGTCTTTTTGCGGGGGTTATCGGGTGATCGGTCCGACAGAAAACGGCGATCGCCGACTGGAGAAGCCCCCCCCGGTCGGCGTGTTCTCTGCTTGATGAGCGGCCAGAAACTGCTGTACTAGTCAGCGTGGGACCTCCGGGTGAAGTCCCGAGTAGCATCTTTGTGTGCCATTTTTTTTTTTTGAAGAAAGTAAAGATAATCTCACAGAAAGACACTACCCGTTCGAGATACAACCACAGTCGAAAGGGATGTGCTGAAGTATTTACCAAAGACAACCCAGGGGATACAGCAGTACTCTGTTGTCTCGGTTTAGAAACGAATGAATGAACGTGATGAGCACGGACATGATTATCATACCGTTCATCACGTCGTCCGAGCAGGAAACAGGGCGCCTTACAGCATGCTTGCGTCAAGTCACGGCCGGCTTTGATCGAGGGAAGTTTCGGAGACCAATATCCGCAATATCCTCCCACCCATCTCGTGCAGCGGCGGGTTTCATGACTACGCTACTGATGTACGTACATGTGGAGACTGCTGAACGGTAAATCTGACATGCAGGAAAGATTTTTACGGTTCGGTTGTGTTGCCATGTCAGATAAATATTTCTCAACCCATCTTCAAAATGAAAGATAGTTATGTCATACTCCTTACGTTCGTCCTTCACACTCTGCCGCTGAATGCATGCAGTCACAGCGTGGTACTCTGTGATGCAGCAGCACAGCGCGGTGTGTCAAGTGTCGAGATCCATCCGCGCCCCCACGACAACGAAAAAATATACCATACATATCAGATTCGGCGTTTTAGGCCAATCAGCGTTGTCCATGTGGCCCCCCGCCGGATGGATGTGCGGAGCCTCTGTGGAGCAAGCAGTCCGGCTTTGAGAAAGTCCGGCTTTGCTGTTTGCCACACGCAGCAAGCAGTGTACACCTTGCTTGGTTGTGAAGGCAATCACGTACGTAACAATGATCTCGGTGTCGAAGCGATGGACCGCGTCAAAGGCAGTGCTGGCTGCAGCTTGGGCCCTGGTGGCAGCCGTCGCGGGCGTCCCGACGGTCGATGCCATGTACTCGTCCTCCAGCGACGTTGTCCAGGCAAGCAAGCCGGACGATGAGGAAATCCGGTAGCAAAGGGGTTGCTGAGTTGGAGAGAGAAAGATAGCAGATACCTAGTAGCATTAGAACGTAGGGGCCTATGGTGACCTAGAGGGGAGAAAGAGAGATAAGCACCTCGAGTGCAAATGCGAAGTTTACGTGGTGGAGCAGGAAAACGATTTGCGGCTTTGTTCTCGCTCGCGCTCTCTCTCGGCGTGGGCTGGAGTTCGCGAGGTACGATGGCACCGGGTTGTCTCGACTCAGGCTCTCCTCTTCTCTCTTGACCGTTGCCGCACCGAGGACAGGTTCCTTGGGTTGGCCCGCTGGGGGCCGTCCAGCCCCCCTCGCGTTGGGTGGTGACACTCTCTTGTGCGCTGTGATTTTGTTTGGATATTTACCGGCAACTATGCATAGGAATCAGGAATCAGGACGGATTTTTGCGGTCCCACTTCAGTACGGACATTATTTAGAAGGTGCTGAGCGGAGACCGGTTTTTAAAGACAACATGTATGCTGTAGACACAGGTACTTTCTGACGCTATGAATTCATTGCTAATCTGTCTCAGACTCTTTTCTCTATGATAGAGATGGATTCGTTGTGTCATATTAAGAAAAAAAGAAAAAAAAAGCAGTACAACAACAACAGCAACGACAACGTGCAGGACAGTAGGTGTCCCGATACAGTGCCGGTTGAATAGTGCCGGTGCCCGGTATAGTGCCGGTAACATCTGGGCATGAGTGTCCACTCCTATACTAAAACCTATACATCACTTTCTAAGTGGTGCCGGCGTCTGGTATACTGCTGTAGTGCCGGTCAAACCTCTGGGCACATATATATGCATATGTACCGGCGCTACAATACATATATCAGGACACCTACATACTTATTGTTCGTACAATACGCCAAAGACATGCATCACCAAGTGGCTGTGGACGCAACGACGCAAAGAGATAGCTCTGGCAGTGATGGGTCGTCTCTTACCTTCCCGTATCATGTGCCTAAAGCTGGAGCGTGTGGCGCTTGGTAGGAGAAGCGGATATTTTGCCCCGTCTCGACTACACGGTAAACTCGTTGTGCGGCGCTCTTGCCTCCGCTCGGCGTGTACTTGTATTGTACTTCAAGCGCACCAGCAGCAGCAGCAGCAGAATAAAATCAACACGTGTGTTTAGTGTTTACTACTGCTGTGTTGGCGGCGTGGTAGATTAGGTCACCCTGTTACCCTGTTAGTTCATCTGAGAATAGTCATATGTATGTTTTGGGCTCGCGTTGACCCAAAAAAATATGTTACCACCACCGGGTGTGGTATTGTCTTAAATAGGTGGGTGTGCTATCTTGGTGTCAGACACGGTATGTGGACACAGACGAGCGGGGTGATCGTTCGACCCCATGTGTTACCCAGCAGGAGGGCAACGCCGTTCATGGGTGGAGGCACGGCCCAACAGATCTTCTACTAACAGGCATGCACAAACAACAAGCGCCGACTCGGGCGGTGCTGCTGCCGCAGTTTGTTGACGATGAGACAGACCCGTTTTACGCTCCTCGACGGTTTTGTAACTTCCGCGCGCTGCGCTGCGCTGCTTTTGACAACACAGGTGGACGACAAGAGCTTCAAGGAAACCGTCCTCAAGTCGGACGGGGTCTGGCTCGTTGAGTTCTATGCGCCGTGGTGCGGTGAGTTGAGTTGTGGACACGCACGCGAGAACGGTCGTTCCGTCTTTGCCCGGCGCCGAGCTCGCACCTCTTGTGCTGGCGCCACGGCATTCTGAAAACTATTTTCCCGTCCGCGGGCTCTACGGCACGATGCAGAGCAGCGCAACGACACTAGCACCCACCCTTGCGGGCCACCCTCGGTCCGTCTCGCCCCCTTGATTGAACGATCAGGACACTGCAAGAGCCTCAAGTCGGACTGGGAAAAGTCGGCGAGCGCGCTAAAGGGCGTGGTCGGTGTTGCGGCTGTTGATGCCACGGAATCGAAGGGGCTAGCCTCCAAGTACGGGATTAAGGTGCGTTGTTTTTTTTTTCTTTCTCTTGTTTTCTTTTGTGCCGTTCACCGTCTTCGCTTGGTGTGAACCTTAGCCTTGTCCCCCCCCCCTTCCCTCCTTTACGTTTACACACCTACGCCCGTGTACAATATAGTGTATTTGTTCTGCACTTCGAGCATAGCTGTTTGGGGAAAGACTCCTTCCAGTCCAACGATTGGTGGATCTGTTATGTGCTCGTTTCGTCCAGCCTCTCGACCTCGATCACCGCGAAGACTCAATGTACCACCCGCCATCGCCCAATAGTACGCCCCCCCCCCCCCCCCCCCGGGGTTTGCCCCCCGGGGTGGGTTTTCCTCCCTTGGCCGCCGCCTTT